CCCTGGAACTCCCATCACCTGGGTCTCCATCCCCATAATCCTTACCTCCCCAATCCCTGGAATTTCCATTCCCCTAGGACCCCATCCTCATCATCCTCACTCCCCAATCCTTGGAACCTCCATCCCCCGGGTCTCACGTTTCCCCCACAACACCCATTCCTCTTGGGCCCATACCCCTCCCTGGACCCACACCAACTTTTCACACCCCCTTCAGCCCTCTTGTACCCCCGTCGCCTGCATCCTGGTGCCCAGCACCCCCACCACCCAGCCCCTGAAGCCTGGGGATCCACATCCTTTCCTCCCACCTTCAGCACATCCCAGGGAGGGTGGGTTGGGGATGTCACGTTGCAGAGAGAAGGGTTACTTCTAATCAACCGGCTGATGTTGATGGGAAAAAGCCGATACACTATGGGAAACAAAAGCCTTTCATTTTAGCACACTTAGGGAATTGAATCTAATTTTCCAGGTGCGCTCTTCTGCTTGATAAATAATAAACCCTCTATCTACAACCTATACCTTGCTTGTGTTCATGTGCCATCCTGTCAAAATACTCACTGTGCCTCACAGGGAGCTTTGGGTGGGCTTTGCTGAATTGTTTGGTGAGAGGGGGAAGCAGAAAGGCTGATGAGATAGAATTTCCCTTGGTTTTCTTTGCCTCATCCAGATTCAGCTTGCACATGCCAGCTGAGGTTTTGGACCCTAAGTAATTTCTGTGAAAAATCAACTTCTTGCTAACATTTCCTGGAGCCTTCCGGGAATCCTTAAGCCGTGTTATTTAACAAATGCATTGAGGCTTCTGCTTAGCCTTTAAAAAAAGAAGCTGTTTTCTTTAGCTTTTCCTTTCTACTAATTAAGCTACTGCTTGGAGCGTTTGGAAGTGTTTTGCCAGTCTCAACCAGATTTGATCGGGCAGGAGTGACACCATCTTCCAAATCAAACTGACATCCAGGCTGGTTTGAGATATCGCCAAGGGCTGTGTGCTCTCCTCTCTGCTCCTCCAAGCAGCAACCATGGAGCGACACTTAACAAGGGAGGTCTCAAAATGGGTCTGGAAAATACTTCCAGAAGTTATGCCTCTGAATTTTTGCATTGGCATTCATTAGGCTCGCTCTGTTGTACTTCCCAGACTCTGTGCTCTCAAAATCACCCCTCACCTGTGTACGTAAAGTCAATAATCATTTGATTTTAGGGGGTTTTTTTCCGCATTTTACAATGGGTGACTTTTCAGAAGCAGAACCCAAAAATGCACTCCTAAGTACTGATTTCCATGTTCCACTCCACTTCGAGGGAGTTCTGCACAATTACATGAAAATGCACATCTGAATTTGCACTTGTGGACTTCTGTGCTTAATAATTTTTGAGATTTGCAGTGTTAACTAGCCCTACACCTGTCCAGCTGCTAAGCGTGTTAGTCAAGTGCTGAGTTTCCTATGATTTACTTTTATTCTGTTCCTTTTTCCTTTTTAGTTCTATTTTTCCGCTAAGCATAAGTTTTCCTACATACAATTTGAAGCGAGATGGGGAAACAGCATGATTGTAGCTCAATTTCATCCTCACAGATGCTCTGTTTGAGGATACATTTCATAAGGATTTTAGTCAAGGGAACTTCTTGTTGCAAAATAATCACCTTAATTCAAGAGAATATTGCACCTTGTCCCTGGCTATCGTGGAATAATTATGGTCCCTCTTTAAAACTGCTTCTCATCTGCTCCCTCTCTGCTTTCTGTGTCTGCCCTGATGAGGAAATGGGCCAACAGGAAAGGGAGAAAGCTTTTGTGCCAGTGGGTGATGTGCACCAGACTAAATAAATGTTGTGGATCTCAGTCATTTTCTGAGTGCAGATTGTCGGTTCTTATGAAAGAGGCTTTGCGGCTGCGAGCAAATCTCTGGCTGTTTGCAGAGGTGCCTGCTATTAAATATAAAAAGTGAAAGTGAAACTTGGTTCCCAACAAGAAGCCTACGTAAAACAAAGAATTACTCACCTTCTGCCCCTCTTTTCCTGCCTCCAGCTGTAGCTGAGATTTGTTTCCCTTTCCCCAGGCGCTCGATTCGGTTTACTTCACCGGCTTTGCAGAGACCAACAAGACCTTTGTTATCACTCGTCTTGCGAAACGTCCTGGTGGAATCTGTGAGATGTGGCTCTTCCTGAAAGTGGATGGAATAGGAGAGTTTGAAGTAAGTGGTGGATGTGGGATGACGTTCAGGAGCACTCTTTAATTCTTACCTTGAACCCATGTTAGGATCCCAAGTAAAATGCACGTTCTCTGCATCTTTACTACATCGACATCCTGACAGTAAGACATCAGTGCTTCATCTGAAGAGAGTGGTAGAATTGGCCAGATTACTGGTGATGTCTATTTTTTTGAGTACATATCTGACCCTTTTTCCCATAATGTGCACAAAGTATAGCATATTTTGTAAAAAATGTCTTGGTAAATCTCCCAGGAACAATTTGAGCATTCAGTCTTTCTGACATTGTGCAGCGCAGAGTTAGTAAGTTACGTTGTATGGCTAGGGTTGTTTTTTTCCCCTTTTTTAACAAGTGAATGCTGTAAAAACTGTTGTGGAATTTCATCTTAAAAGAGAAGGAAAAGCTTTTAGGGGCTTACATGTACATTCACTTCATCCTTGCTAAAAGGAAAACTACTATTCATACATTTTGCCTGCGGATTTTCTGTTTTGTTAATAGCTGACTACATAGTAAAGAAGGAAGGAAGATCTGGCCTAAATCCCTTTTCATGCAACTATCTTTGTGTTCACAAATTTGTTTTGCTGAGTAGCCGTGACCAGAAAAAGCAGGAGACATCCCATTTGCAGAAAATAAAAAGAGGGAAGATAGATGTGCATTGTTTTGTTTTCTAGTAATATTTAGTATAACAATCCTGTGCCAAGTTCAGGACCTCCTAAAATACTTCTGTACAGCAACAGGCATAAAATCTTTTCTAGAAAGGTGGCACCTTTAGGAAACGATATGTTTTTCAAAGAGCACCTGAAGAGTTCTGGGAGCTTGCATGTGCTGGAAATTTAAATCAGTTTAGAGTTTCATCAAATTCACTCTAAAAATAATTTTACCCCCTAGATTCTATATCAGCTTGGCTATAAGCTTAACAGAGTCACTAGTGTAAGGAGCTGAGCATTCTTAGTCACCTCTCTTCATGCAAGTAATTCAGTTGTATTGTCTGAAACTAGAGTGTGTTATCTTATAACTCAGGTGTTTTAAGGCACAGTTTTTCCTCTCTAACAGTCTGATTACCAGAAAGCAAGCAGAACTGGAAAGCCAATTCAACCAAATGAAAAATCTCTTACAGAGAACTGCCAGAGCAGGAATTCACTCGTGTTGCATCCTCACGATTGATTTAAGCAAAGGTTTTCCTGAAATGTCTTTCTAGCACCCACAGCATCCAAACATGATGGTGAATGATGAATCTGAAGAGATTTGGAGTGGAGGAGGCCTCACTATTGAATACTTAGAGCCCCAAGCACGCTGGAAGATAAGCTTTGACGGATTGCTGAGGTATTGCAGCATTCTATAGTTCTGTTTACCTACACTTAAGACCAAGACTTTTTGAACACTATCTGGAAATATATTTAACTGACTTGAACCAAAAGCTATTTGGTAACAGTAACACACGTTGATTTTTATGGAATGAAAATACAATCTATAGCGTTACTATTCTACCTTAGCGCACAACAGAATCGTTCTTCTGCAGTGTCCTCTACTGCATTCATTTCCAAAGGTGTAGGAACTATTTTGCTCTTTATGAGTAATATAAAATTACAGCGCTTTTCCTTACAGAAAGGGGCCCTACCGACAGCAGTGGAGCGAAGAGGAAGGCGAACTTATTCCAGTTAAATTCTCTTTCCAGTAAGAGCGTTTTGCATTTGCTTTGGGATGCCTAGTGAGTTCATGGTTAGAGGTTTGGTTACTGCTTTCAAAGCTCGTGTGCACAAAGTACCAAATGAAGCCCTTGCCTCTGCTTTCTTTTCCTGTTCATGAGCTTTATTTGTCTGATAAGAAATGACTTGCTGTCAAAGTAGCCCAGCATTTCTGGAGTAATACTGTGTTTGTACCTGGAACAGACTGTGTGAGAGAAAGCTTGTGGCTCTGCCCTGCCAGCCTCCCTTCCCAGGTAATCTGTTGACCCTTTCAGGCTGTTGTTGCTCTTCTCAGTTTCATTTTGTTTGCTTCCTTGAAAAATAGTCATGTATTTAAAATGATAAAAATCAGAATTTTCCAATAATGACAAAATACCAAGATCACCACTATCAGAGTAGCTCGTGCACAACTTGGTCTATTATGACCTGAAATCTAATAATGTCTTTTATTTCCCCCCTCCTTTTCATAGTTGGGAGAACTTCACAGAAGTCTTTAACTTTAGTGTTGACAGTCACCCCAGCACATTTGTACGTGCCTTTGCCCAGGAACCGTGGACCATCGAGTTCTTCCAGAGGGTCAGAAAGTAAGAGGCAAGATTAATTTCTTCTAAGATTAATAGTATTTTTTCTACAGATCTCTTCAGAGTCTGGCTTGGATTGGTTCAGGTGATTTTAGAAGGTGGATTTAATTTGAAGTGAGCTAATAAAGGACATGGCTTCTGTCAAGTATCTCCCAGTTTCATTACCAGACCTGCCAACTTCTAAGGAGGATCCTGTGCGTCTTCCTAATGTGTGGGTGGAGGGACATGTCCACAGTTTTGGTCTGTAAAACCTTGAGCATTAGGAATATTTCTTATTCTATCTTTTTTTCACTGCTGGCAACCTGATTTAGGCCACTGCCAAAGTCAAGTATATCTAAGCAAAGGATCAAATATAATTGTGTGAAAGGAGTGCTAAAGCTGATGTTTGAAGTACTACACAAACTTGAGAGAGCTAAAAATATGGGAAGAAAATATAAGTATCAATAGCATGTTGCTTAAATTCAAACAGAAAATAGGTATACTGATAGCCTGTTGGCTTTGGTGACACCTGCTGACTTCTAAGTGGCAATTGTTCAGTAACACGGGATTTTTTCTCAAACAAATGGCATTTTTGTAGTCTATCATGGTAGGAACTTGTTGCTGTTTCATCCTCAGGTGTCTCATAGAAATGGTATAGCAATAACTGAGAAATGTAAAAGTGGTTGCTAATGTGTAAAAATCTGGCACAGCCATGATCCAGATGCTCTGAAATCTCTCATTTGTTTTGAGATTAAAGTCTATCAGATTGGCATTGGGGACACCTTGATTTTGCCTTTCAATTCACTCTTCTCTTTCTCCCAGGCAAAGGGAACAACATTTCCGACATGAGCAGTGGGGCCAGTCTGTTGGAGAAATTGAAATAAAAAATCACGAGAAAAGGGAACTTTCCCTCAAAGGCGTTCGGAGCCACTCTTACGGTAACGGCACCACAACCGACTCACTCACTTGGCTACCTTCACTATAGCTGGTACTGGCAGGACAGTGGGACTAAAACTGTCTTTAAAAAATAACCAGTTTCATGACATGAAGTTAAAAGCCATTTCACAGGAAATCCCATTACTGGTTTGTGGACGTGCATATGCTTAGCATGTTATCAATTACTGCATATTTCTTTATCTAAAGTTAATACTGAGTCAGGCACTATTAGTTCCAGTATTCCAGCAATGGTGATCTTTAGATTGGGTGATTTTGTTCTTCTCTGCAGGTATCCGGGACTGGTCTGAGATTTACCGTTACGTCATGATTTTGGCACGCTTTGAAGTAGGTATTAACATGACAATGTGCTACATAACCATGGAACTCAAGCTGGTGTTTCTGAGCTTGAAAGTCATATTTAAATAACCAGAAATAAGGCATTGGGCTGTGCTAACTGATGCCGTCATTAGCATATATCAGCATTGGCAGCAGCTCTCAAAAGCAGAGCTGTGTGTGTAAACTGAGATTTTGCTACGCTGATTGAACCAAAAGTTATTTTGGGAACTTGAAACCTTTTGTTTTGTCTTTTTTGAGAAAAACTACATAGGCAGCTTCACAGGACGGATTCTCAGCTGCCGCAAACACCCAGCGCTCATTGGAGTCGATGCAGTGCCGATTCACACTAATTGAGAGCCTGAGGTGTTTGAAGGCACCCTAAACCTTCGTGACAGCAGTCAGCAAATGTTTCTGCCTGTGCTGAGCTCTAATTCTTTGCTTGCTGCTGTGGCTGTGCTGGAGGAGAGTCAGCGCTGTGGCTGCTGGGAGCACACAGCCTGGAGAAATGCCCAACGCTGGCCTTGGAAGTTGGCGTGCAACGTGAACAGATGCTCCTGAAAAGGCATTTCCTTTGCCAACACAGGCGTGAAGATATCTAAGCTCTCTATTATAGGCAGAATTACAGCAGTTAGGACTGAATTCAGAATAAAAGTTCTTTTCCCACCCAGCATGAAAATGCACCTTGGAAAATCCCACCTGTGTGGATGCAGTAGCTGCTGTGATTTGACATGTGCCTGTTGTACCTTTTAATAAGGCTGTGCTTTCACACTGTAATGCATATAATAGGGTAGTAACCTCTCCCTTTTCTTCATCGTTATTCAGGACTCAAAATGACTGCTGCTCTTCCCCTCTAATTAAAAGCCATCTGACTAGAAGGAATTAAAGTTTATTGCTAATAGAAGTTTGGAGTCCTCATACCCCGAGTATCTGTACATATATCAAAACACAGCGTAGGCTTATATTTGCCTCAGAGCAGCCTGAGTCGCACATGAAGGGATTCAGATTCAAGAATGGAAGAAAAATTAATAAAACACGAGATTCCAGTTTTTTGTTATTTAACATTTTTCCTGTGTGTTTCTCTCAGGCGTAGAATAACATAGGTTAGAAGAGATGTCAGAGCAGGGCCAACTTTTATTTAGATTTAAATAGGGCTAGCTGACATCTCTGCATGTATTGTTCGCTTCTCCCTCTTATGTCCACTTGCTGTGGACTTTCTGTCATCCTTAATGTCCTTAATTTGTCCTTATTGTTTATATTCTTGGACTCTCATTTGCAGCCAGATTTTCATGGAAGAGGTATTGAGAAGATTTGAAAGTATGAGGTCATAGCATGCTGCATAACCTGACTTATACCCACTGTCTTCTTGGTCAACCCACAGAAACCACAGAAATGAGTCTGCACAAACTAGACTGCTTTTTCTTTATCGCTCTCTTACAGGATGGGACTACAGCTCATTTAACAGTTATCAATATGCCAGCTACAACAAAAAAGTAAGTAACCAGTGAATTTTATGCCGCCAAACCCAAGCACCTTAAAGGTGGCAGAAGTTGCTCTGCAGGACTTTTATATGCACGTTCTTGCCCTGAACCTGTACAGCCCGATTTCCATTCACGCCCTCTTGCTCCCCATTCCCTCCACCCAATTTTCCATTTGCATTTAGTCATGCGGACAGCTTTTACCTTCAATGGCTTCCTTCCCGTTCAATTATTGTTTGGCTGAGGCAGCTGCCTGCCTTACTGTCTAGATGATTTAGAGGTACCAACTGAGTACTTCTAGCTGTTTAAGAAGGTGTGTCTTTCTGTAGAGGGACGTTAAGCAGGGAGCCCTGCAACGCTGCCTGGTGCTTTCTGCATCCAGAAGCTTAAAGATCCGTGTTCGTGGCCTTTGGACCAAGTGGGACTGAGTGACCTGCCTGTCCCACCAGCCCACCACAACCCATCCTGCAAGTCTCATCTCTCCTGCATGTGTAGCTCACCCCTCTCAGCATTTGCAATATCCCACAATATAACCATTTTTATTTATTCCAGCTGCTTTCTAGGGATGAAGGCCATGCTCAGTGTTGAGCTCCTCTGGAAGGCTAACATGCTGGTCCCTTTGAGTTTCAGCTGAACTTAAAATCTTCTGCATTTCTTTCCCCGTCAGCCTCACTGTAGGTTATGTCTTTTTCCCCGATGGGAGGAAGGCTGGCATTGAGTGGTCCAACGCCTCGCTGGCTGAGCTGGCTGATGATGGTGTTATCAAGGAAAAATATGGAGTCAGTTTTACTGCCGGTGAGCTAAATGTAGCCCAGCTATATGTGCCTTCAGCTTTTTGGCAGGCAGTTAATTTAGAGGAGGAAAGACCAACCAGTGAAATTCCATGTAATCCTTGGAGCAATTTTAAAAGCTAAATGCATCATCTTGCACCCTGAGAAGTTTACTTTTGTGTTTAAGACATATGTGTAGTGTGCCATCGGTGAACCGGTGTGCGTCCCCTGCAGGATCAGGGCAGCTGGATCAGAGGGAGAGATACGGTTTCTGTTTGTGGTGGCTGTTGATAAATGACGTGATCTTCACTATTTTGCGTGTCAAAGTGTATGTTATGAGGTAGATTCAGCTGTTCTGGAACTACGGCTTGGTCGAAGGTATTAATTTACAAAGCAGACAGGAAAACTATTGCTCTTTAGAAGAAACCATATGCAAAAATAGTAAATCTTGGGATATTCTGAGATAAAATGCTACTGAATGTTGGAGTAATTCTTCCCTTTCTGCTCTTGTCAAAGGTGGCAAGTACTTTGATGTTTCTGCAATGCTGGATAAGCAGGCTTGCCCCATGGTGTATAATGGCCTGACTGGAAGTGGTGTTTTCCATGAGTGTGTTGCTGATTTTCAACTGAATGGCTTAACACAAGGCTGGGGCTTGGTTGAATTTTATTACAGGTAAAATATTGGTGGGCAAGAAGAGACAAAGAATTCTCCATCCTCCTCTGTTGGTCTAGTGGCTACAGCTCCATAGATATTTGAAGCATAAAGGCATACATTTTTTATCTGATGTAAAGAAACGTTGTTCATTTAGGGCCTAATGTGTTTATTAAATTGACAAACACTTTGTATATTATTAGGAAAAGAATGATTTTGTGAGCACTTCATACAAGCAGACAAACTGTGGGCATATGTTCGATTGTTTGCCATGTAGGTTTATGTAGGGCTATATATAGGGTTTTCTAGAGGTTTATGAGTTGGTGGATGGTCTGTTCTGGAGACTATCTTACTTAGGCAATCTGTCACATTGTAAAAATAATGAATCCCCTACCTCAAACAGCAGGCTAAACATTTACAGGGTGAAATTTGCTCATACAAGTATTTGTCAGACTGGAGCATGGAACAGATAAATGTATAGAAAATCCATTCAGGGATACCTCTTCTAGGGGAAAGGACTATATCAACAAAGTATGTGCTTCTCAGTAAAGTGCTATTTCTCCTTCCACATGATTGTCACAGTCCTTTACTGGAGCCTTTTCCTACTGAGTCTCCTCTCTCATGGAAAAAAAAAAAGGAGGCAAGTTTGGTTGTTTACTTTTAGTTTGTGTTTTAAAATAAACACTGATTCTTGGCTGTCAAAGAAAATGCCATAGATGACTTTCAGAAGACTGAGAGCATAGCTTCTTCTGAAAACCAGCCACGTTTAAAGCTCATTAAATAGGCTCCCAACCTGCCAAATGCCCGCTGGTGAAACCTGAAAGCTGTGGCCTGTAGCTGCTGCCAGGTACCTGCTCCACTCCCTTCACTGTCAAAACCTGTGTGGTGGAGGAAATAACCCAGTGTGGAAAGTCTCAACTAAAACCCAAACAAGGCACCTTCCCCAAGTCTGGACAGTCCTGGATGTTTCTAGATCTGCCCAGGAAGGCTTAATTTGGCAATGCTGACAAAATTCCCGTAGGGCTCCCATCTGATTTCTGCTTCCAAATCAAATCTACATTAGAAATTAAAAATGGGTGGTTGTCTAGTTCTTCCACTTCGCTGCAGGACACCAACTCAGCATCGCTGCTCCTGTTACAGGGATGAAGCCGCCCAGCTGGTTCCGAGTTTGCAGCTTGGTTCAAAAGCCGAAGGACCCGACCTTTCCTCCTGGCACCCTGCAACTGACAGCTCTCCCCTGTGAGCATCTGCAAGCTTTTCCCAGCAGTATTAGCAAGCAGCAGCTAGCAAAAAAGAAAAAAGTTATTCTCTGCAAAATGCACAGTTTTGAGCATGGAACTCATTGTGACAGGATGCTGTGGAGGTCAAGGGTATAAAAGGATTTGGAGAGAAATTAGGTACATTTTTAGTGGTGCAGCTCTTAGTGGTTGCTAACCACGGTGGTCCGGAGGCAGTTTAAAGGAAACCTCTGAACAGCTGATTGCAGGAAGAGTGCACTGGGAGGGATCGCTCTGTGCTCTCTCGTTCAGTATTTTTCCAAAACTGCCAGCTGCTCCCCACTGTGAAGACCAGGACACTGGGCTACGTGGATATCTGACCCAATTTAGCAGTTTCCCCGTTCTTTCATTTTTTGGTTCTAAATAAAAGCTCTATCTTTCTGAACTCTCTGGTTGTTGTAGTCATTAAAACATGGGAAAATGCTATTATGAGAAAATAGACTGATTTCGCAGTCTGATGACTGTATAAGAGCTGAGCTGGAAGAAGTAGGAGAAAGCACATCTAAATGATGTTCTCTCTAGGAATAACATTAATAGCCAATGAAATAAGTGGTACAAACACGTTTTTCCCTTGTCTGAAGGAAAGACAGGGTCTGCTACTCCAATTTAGAAGGCGATCTGCATTTTTCATCATTCACTTGGACTTAGATGCTGTATGAATCACAATGTCCAGGTTAGTCACTGATAGCTGCTGGCCCAAAGTAGCTTACAGTGTATTCCCTACGTAGATGCATCTTGCCATTAAGTACTGAAAATTAAACATACTCAAGTAAAAGTAGTTACTTGGAAGATCTGGACAGGAGTTAAGGAAAGATGCCTCATTCCCTATACCAGGCAGCAACGCTATGCAACTGCTGGAAGCATCATAAGAATGTTATTATAGCACCTCCACTGCACACATATATATATTTATTTGTAATCTCTGCTTAGACTGACATTGGAGCAGACTTTAATAGGCTTTAAAGACTTTCTGAGATAGCTCTTATACTTCTTACTATAGCAGCATTATATGCATGAATATAAAATTACTGAGCCTATACATATCACAGCAATGACTGCATGTGCAAATCTGGGATGCGTTACCAAACAAGGCTGGGATGATGCAAGCAACAGCCTGATATGATGCAACGAGACGATTTTACCAGCAGTCTCTCCTGCCGCTGTGCAGAAGGGCAAAGAGATCCCCACTCCCCCGTTTATAGCATTGTCCTTGTCCTGTGTTTGCACCTGTGAGCGGCACCTCACCGAACGCACCCTCCTTGCACCCCAATCCATCAGCTGTATGCGTGGAGCAGACTTTGGATTGCATTTCTTTTGGGATTGGCAATTGATTCATAGTTTTGGGTTTTAGCTGGGGTTATCCTAGAAAGACTTCTCTAGTTACAGCACTATTAAGAAACGTTTTCTTGGGAGTCTTGCACAAACTTCAAGATGTCTTAAATCTGTCTGTGCGCTGGTAATAATGCACTGAAACAGAGAGCTTCTGAATCACTTGAGACAATGGTACTTCAGCAGAAGGGAAGGCCTTTACACCTCTTCTTACACATAAGAAATCAGTCAAATAGGAAATTTTAGAAAGGTTAGAAAAATAACTATGTTATACATAACAGTTTGTTCCTATTTAGTATATGGCTTGTTTTGCTATGATCTCAGGAACATCTGTTCCTTTCTTTCAGTGGAGTTTTTGTCATCTTTTTTCCTTTTTTTTCTTTTTTTTTTCCTTGAAGACTAAAACATTAACATTTAGAAGCCGGAGTACGTACACATAGTCAAACGAGGTCTTTGGAGGTGTTGGAGGATGTAGATAATGAGCAAAATTGTTAATTATTACACTGGAATGATTGTTCAAGAAATTGCTGTAAATAAATTCCTTGTCCAGGTCAAAAATTAAAAATCCATCCCATCGAGGAAGGTATTGGTCTGGCTGTTTCTGACTCTCAGAACAAGGGATGCTGTGGGAAAAATTGCAAGTATCTCCCCCAGATAATACTCCGAAGTTCATGTTCCTGCAGAGGAGTATGGCACAGCCTTCATCACTTTCCTTCTGTCCTCTTTATTTTGTTTCTTTTGGTACCAGTTGATGGAGAATTAGAGCACTCCAGAGTTCAGTCTGGAAAAGTTCAAGCAGGGTACAGAAAATGATTAATAAAGTTTTCAGCTGGCAGGTTTATTTGCCAGGTGATGAACTACTGGTACGGTATTTCAGCCTGAAGGACTGAAAAATTGACTGCTGGGGGTTTTCTCCCTGGATTTCAAATTAGTTTATAGTGAGCTTGTGTCCAGGACACATGGAATAACTTATTCAATTTAAAATAAATCTACCAAGAACAACGCTTTGACCAACTGAAGTGGTCCTTTTCTCGTGGCTCCTTTCTCGGTGGAAAAAATCCATCTTGGGAAATGCTTCTACAGCCAAAAGCATTAATTATGAGGGGTGGAGGGAAAGCAAAAAAAAAGAAAAAGCAATAAATGGAGGCAAGTCCTGGCCAGAAGTGAAATGTAGCATAAGATCTACTCTCGTCTGGCGTGAAGGGAGGCAGCTGGAGCCTCGTCAGGATGAGCTGCTCTCCAGCATCTGCATTGTGCATGTCTGGGAGGACCTGGACACCTGTAATTCCTGCGGCTGTCGATGGGCCAGAGCCTGACACGGAGAAATACTCGCATTAAATACTTGCACATCCCACTGGAGTTCACATGCATGCTGAATTTCCAGGTTCAGGCCCTTGTAAAGAGGTCGTTTAAAGGCTGTCAGCCCCAACTAAGCATTTCCCATCAGTCTGGCCTTGGCTACTGATGTCTAGAATGGGAAATATTTTACTACACTTATTTATTCTCTTTCCTTTTTGCAATCTTTCATGTATTCGTAGTATGGATATAAAGGCCATGTTCAGTGACATTGTATTTCACTGACAGAAGGAAAAGAAGAAAAAAATATTTTTTCTGTTTAGATTTATGTCTGGGCTTTACAGTTGGTGAAGCAAAGTGTAGCCCAGGGAGTTCTGTAATTTATCAAAAATAATGCACTATGTGGCTGAATTGTCTCTGCAAAGCAACCAGTTATGTCAAAAGTGGACTTTTCCCCTCCATAAGAACAAGCTTAGCATCCAAATGACTCAGAGACATTCCAGAAAAAATGACTGATAACCACCCACTCCCTTCTCCCATTTACTGGAACCCTGGCTGCCTCAAGCTCCCTCTTGCTTATGATAAAAGCCACATCACTCTTTCTTCATCCAGAACTACTCTTCCCTAAACTGTGGCTTTTTTATTGTTGGTGCTCTCCTAACTTGTAGACTAAGTGCTCAGGTGCCCAAGGCCTCCAAAGGGATCTCTTCTGGGAGGCTTTTGGGGTCCTCCCCCTCCATTTTGAGGTATTTTCCTTTCCTGGCTGAAGCTGTAATTAGCATTGAGTTTTGCTTTTATTCAGCACCAAAAAAAAAAACCAAACCCAAACCTTACTTAAAACACAGTGCAAGTGAAGTTCATTCTAATCTGGCCATAAAATTTTACGAGGGGTGTAAATCAAAGGGAGGAGTGGCAGCTAATGCTCTGGAACAGTTGAACCCTGTTCAAGCTTTCTCAGTAGAGTTAAATCCCTCCAGGAGCAATTAGCCTAACAAGCTGTTTGGTCCACTTATAAATAACGTCACTGATGGAGGTGTCTGGAAGCATCAGCTCAGTGCACAAGAGACTTTCCAAATGCGCTGAGTGTTGCATGACTTTTTTTTTCTTAATCCAGCACCT